AAGGAGCAACAACTGGAGCCCAGCTTCAGCCCCACCCAAACATCCAGGCCCTCAATTCTGCTCCTCAGCATGTCTCCCAGCCCTGCTAGCTGCAATGGCCTGTGGGATTCACATGAAGAAGCTGTTTCAGAAATACTGCCCTGGGCTGGCTGCACACCAGCACTTGCACAAAAGAGGAGGGGAGGGGAGAATGCGATGCTTTGACACCTCTACCAAACCTCTCTGGTCACTCATGTCCCATCATATCACCACTTGCAGTGGATCCTGATGGACAGCCCACGGGGAGCCCTGGCTCCTGACAGCGTGGGAGACAGCTTGCCCACAGGGATGCCCTCCGCCCAGGTACTGCTGTCTCTGCATTAATCCTTGTGCCCAGCCATCTGAGTTACTGCTGCTGCATCTCAGCCCCTGGTGCATTCCCAGAGTCTCTCTCTGCTCTAATGCTGCTGCTCTCTGTAATTTTCCGTTCCTGTGTCCCTGCGTTCCCAAGCCCTCACTGCATCCATGAGTTCTCCCCCTGATGTAGCCGCATTTCAATACCCCCACCGCTGCTCTTAAACTGCCCATATTCCCGGCTTGGATCAATACCAATTTCTGCCACTTACTTGCCTACCTTTCAGTAAGCCCTTCTTTGTTCTGCATAGAAATAAAACTGTAACTATACCTTGCCAGAAGAATCACTTTTTAAAAAAACCTTCCCCCCTTTCCCTCCCTCTATTCTTCTCCCCCTTCTTCTTCAGGAGCAATTTTATGCAATTTGCAACTGTCTGGCTGCAAATGAAAAGAGACACAAAGCGTTTCTGCGAAATATTGAAAAGCTGGCTGCTTTTCCCTCAAATTTCACTTAGTGAGAAGCTTTAACTTGGTGTGTGATCACTGCGTGTCATTAATAACCTCTCCAATTCCTTTCAGAACCCAGCAAAGTGAAGGCACAATCACGAATCAAAGGCATGGGTTATTGAGATATAATATCGTTTCACCCAGCCGGGGAGGAGCGTGCCAGGGAGCAGGGAGGAGGTGAAGCACTGCACCGCTATGCTGGCTGGCAGCTGAGGAGCACAAGGCATTCAGGAAGGAGGGTGAGGGCCTGATGCTCTCTCTGCTTCTCAGATCCAAAGATTTTGCCTCTGTTCAGCCTCCCTGGGCTATGCATCTGTCCTCCTAACAGGGCAGACACAGGCAACAGAGGGGATTGGTTTCTGTTTTGTTCCTCAGGTAGATCTGCCTCCATCGCCACTTAGTCTTTGGAGCGTACTTCCCCAGCCTGTCCTCACGAAGCAAGACTGGGGAGCACAAAACAGGATCTCTGCAGGCTCCCACGGCCACAAGGCAGAGCACCGATCCTGCTTTCCCCAGCCCTTGCCATCAGCAAGGGCACGGATACTTGGCCTTTTCAACTCCTCAGCAAGCCTGGGTGATTAGACACTGCTGCTTACTCCCCAAGGATGCCCTTTACATCCCCGTTCTAGGAAGCTCTATCCTTCCTTCTCAACAGAAAGTGCTGTGCACTTGTTACTGCCAGACTGGACTGAGAGCAATTCGCCAGCTCTGCAGGCAACACAGGTGTTTCGTATCTCCAAACACAAGTTCTAGATGATACAAAATACAGCTGACAGTCTTCTCGCTTTACATCCTGAGCACGCCAATCCTTATGAAACTCTTTCTCTCCCCTCACACCTGCTTCCAAAGTCCACTGAATGATCTCTATTCACAAAGACATGCGTGGATCCATAGCCCCAGCTCCACAAAAGCCTGAACGTTGATCTCTGAACTGCAGTGATGACTTGGCTCCTCTGATATAATGCAAACTATAAAGCATGGGAAGAAACAGAGCAGAGCTGGGACCAGGGCATTCTCGGATGAGGGGAACAAATTCCGGTGGGAGATAAAGCGAGCCCAAAATCTAGCTACCTTTGGAAAAAGATGCTACACCTTCCTATCCAACAAAAGCTTTTCTGGGTTTAACTCTTGTATTTTGTTTAGTTAGCAGACACCCAACAGCTCCCAATTTAAAATAAACAAGTGAAGTAAAAACCACAATGCAAAGAGAACTTGCCAGAAATGCCATAAGAGCCAGCAGAGACCATGGTGATTTCCTACTGATTTATGTGGAAAACTTACAGTAATGGGCAACAATATAAAACCTCAGGACAGCCACACTGCAGGTGCGGCTCTGCAGGAACACTGTGGCAGCATTCCTGGATACACTGATATCCCTAGCATCAGGCACAGAGGGCGTAAGCAATACAGCTGCAGGCACAGTGCCAACCTAGAGACAGACTTGGAAAGACAACCCAAGCGTCCTGTTCCACTTCATCTGTCTAGCCGCCCGGTCACAGCCTGAGGACCTACCAGAAACCATATCAAAGCATTTCCTTGCATCTGGCCTTATCAAATCCCCACTCTGGGCTAAGAAAGCCATTCATCTCTATTTGGATTCACGAATTGTTGAGATCAGCCACTGCTCTCTACACTGAGACCAATGAAGAAGGTACTTGCAGCATCTATGGTTGCTTTGCAATACAGTGGCAAGTGTAGGATTACCAACAAAATGCCTTCTACGCTAGCTCCATCCTATCTCAAGCTGCCGATGCTTCGTCATGCATTCAGGTGAAGGTTTGTGTAACTCTACACTGATGTTACGCACACCCTTAAGCTTTCTTCCTGCTGTTGCTATGTGTAATAAAGAGATGGTAAATGGGTAAAACAAACAAGAAAGTGCTTGCTTACCATACTATGGCCCATTTACTTAAACCCCAATGGCCTGGTTCAGCACATTCTGTTCTCTGTCCTGTGCTAGGGTCCTTGCTATATTTTTGGTGAGATGCTTTGCAACAGAGTTCATCATAAGATAGCCTAAACATGAATGTACAGAGGAGAAATTTCATGATGTTGTGCCTAAAAGAGGGAAACAATCAGTTGACCAGAGCTCCTGACGGTGCTTCCTTTCCAGAGTAGTCTCTGTGATCACTTGGGTCACAGGGATGGGTGGTGCTACACAGACACAATGATCAAACCAAGCAAAGCAAATAGGACTGAAAGCTACCTGAGGTCAGCCAGCCCCTTCCATGTCAAGATCAACTCTACCCACCTCAGCCTGGAGGACTGTTTCATTTTGGTAGTAACCATCTCTAAGTGACCACTAAAATGACCAAAGAGAATCCGGCCTTCTTGATCACAGAGGGAATTTCCTAAAGAGAAATCGAATGTGATGAAGTGATATATTGCCAGCATGAAGATGTACAGTTCCAAGTTCATGCTAATCTTGAAACCAAGAACAGCACGTAGGTCATTAACTGGCCGAAGACTACTGTGCTTGAAAGTGCCAGGTAGCAAACACTTCTTCCTGTTCCCAAGCAATTTCCTATGCCTCCCTAAATATGAAAAGCCTTTAGATCACCCCATCTCAGATAAATGTGCTTTGCATTGCTTGTTTAAACAGGACCTCATGCCACACTCTCTAAACATGGAGTACAAACGATAGAGAACAGTGAAATGTGCAACAGATCCCGATGTAGGACGGCAGCAAAACAGAGAGTGGCTCGAATCCACTAAGCCTCACACCAGTGACCTTTGAGGGTCCCTCTAGAGGTACTAGACAGGGACATGTCAGTCTCCTCTCCACTGTGATGCAGCACTGCACCACGACCCAACCCGCATCCATAGAGAGATACCGCTCCCACACTCGGCAACTTGCTCTTACAGACTTTGTCAGCTCTGCCCTGGACCAACGCACACAGAAGTTTACATTGCTTTATCCCAAAAGGTTGAGCTTTTCGCTCACAGAAAATTAAGTCAAACAGTATTCAAGTACCTAGTTATCCGCACTCTTCCTCTGCTGCCCTGAGATAACCTGAAACATCCATAGCTGGTAACAGTAAAGATTCCATTAAGTGGTAATTAAATCACGTGCATTTTCCTGCCCTTGGACGCCAACACAGACCCGTGCACAAACGGAGCACAGGTGAACCAATATGGAAAAGGGTGTGTATGGGGAAGTCGCGAGGGGAGAGGGAGGTTGTCTGGACCTGGATGGTTAAAGAGGAAATGTTATGGTTACAAATCCCTGACCCCCTCTCCAGAGACCCCTGCTCTGCATTAACTATCCTGCTGCCTTGAGCACTCCCGGCCTCCTTTGAGCTTCTGTCTATAAGTACCCAACTCCTCTGTCTGCTCACCTACAAGGGAATCCTTCCAGCATGCACCTCCCCAAAATGGAGGTGGCAATGACTCAAACCTCGTGTCAGCTCAGCAGCAGGTCCCAGGGAGGCAGGAGGCTTCTCTGCGACACAGGGGCTGATGTGCAGCACCTATCCCCTGGGCTTCCCTGGCACTTTGCTCCCAGCTCCAGCTGAACAGGGAGCAGGACCCAGGGACTGCCACGGCTGGCTCAGCACTCTGGTCTCACCTATATAACCCATTTCTCTTCCAAGTGATGGGACGTGCCAAGGGCACTCTCTATCTGAGAAGCTGGTCCAACTCAGCCACTGCACTAAAAACCGTTTCAGGTGCTGCAGAGCCACTGAACAACCTGCCCAGGCACCTGGCAGAGCTGAGGCAGACTAGGAACTGGTGCACCAGGAGGCTCTGCACATCTGGAAGAAAAGGGTCTGGTGCCTCGTGCTGCCTCTTACCATGTTTCCAACGCGATGGCTGCGCAGGCTGGGCCCACGCGTTTCACCCAGGCGCCCAGCTCCCCAGTGACAGGAGCAGGCAGCTGGAGAGGCCACGTCATGCCACGGGCCAGGGAGCAGCACAGAAACGGGTTTGGCTGGGAGTGACTCGGGGCAGCCTTGGCAGGACGGAGACCGGAGCAGCACCTCTGTGAGGAGCAGCTCCGTGCTTCGGCCTCGCACCCCTGTTCTAACCCCCAAACCATGCTGTTCTTTCACAAGCAGGAAAATTAATCTCAGTCAGCTCTCCACCAGCTCTCCCTCCCCCAACAAGCCCTGTCCACCAGCCCAGGGCATGAGCTGCAGGCACAATTCACTGCGACTTACCCCTGGCAAAGTCTTCTGTTCGTGCAGTGCTGTCTGGGCTTTGATGGCAGAGTCTCTGGCACAGTAGGTGAGGAACGCACAACCTGTGGTGGATACAGCAAGTGCCAAGTTAGATGTGCAATTGCAGACGCACACCAACCCAACGTTGCTCTAGCTTTGGTAACAGCATGTGTCCCAGGTACATGAACGATATACATTGCCTGTTCCAGTAGACCTTTGTCCCAACCTTTCTGCCCAGATATAGAGGAAATGTCCACCAGAGCCCTTGTGCAAGACCTGATTTTTTAAATTTTATTTTTGTTAGCACCTTGTAAATTGCCTTAAAAAAAAAAGGAAAGAAAAAAAAAAAGAAAAGAGGAGAGGAGAGGAAAGATTTACTAATTTAAGGTGCAGATGTTATGAAATCCGGACGTGTTGCAGACCCTAGGGAAGAAGACAAAGAAACACCGTCAAGGGAGTTGCAGGCTCCATCCAAAGTCTGTTGAAGTCATGGAAGAGGCTCCGAGTGAATAAACTAGGTTTGAAACAGGCATTGGGCAAGGTAAGAGAGAGTAGGAGAGCAAACTGCAGGCTTACACTGCCCGTGGAAGAAACTGCCCAAAACAGAGCGATCGGAGAAAATTGCAGGGACCACTGGGATCACTGATGACAACAAAATAAATAAGGAAAGAGGAAAAGCTCTGGGATTTTAGGCTGATACAAAAGCCCCTTGATCCAGACTCTTGGAATCAGGAGAGCTACAGAAGGAGAGCTCTGGCTTTCTGTGCCACACACATACACACACACACACCTCTGCAACGTGCACAAACACACAAAAGTATACACACATACACGACAAGGGAAGTTCAGAGAACAAAGCACAACACATTCAGCAAGGCTGACTCAAGAAGCAAGCTGAAAAGCACGGGGAAAAGGCCAGACCCTGATGTTCTTGGTCAAGATTTGAGCCAGCATCTTAGCCTAAAACTGGGACTATGGGAGGAAGGGAGAAATTGTAGCCCCTCGAGGAGGAAGAAGGATCAGCTTTGGGTGCTCTGATGCTAAGAATAACTAAATGAAACTGAGCAAAAGAAAAATTTGGCTGGTTATCAAGAAACATTTCCTAGCAGAGAGATTTATTAGACTGTGGAATGATCTCCCAAGGGAAGTGCCGGGAGCTCCATCACTTGAGTTGTTTCAGATGAGGTTGGGCAAGGCGCTGGAGAATAGACTCAGACATGAGAATGCCTCTGACCCCCCTTGCTCGTCCCCCTCTGTTCCCCATGGCATTTCACATCCTAAGCAAAGGCAGGACATGTCCCTTCAGCTTGTTAATGAACGGCAGAGTGGCTATCGCTGCGCTGGGGCTGCAGATGCAGGGCTACAGCCCACGCGGAGGCCCACTTTTGTGCCCCCACCTTGTGCCTGGCTCAGGCTACTCCCCAGCTGTTTCAGCTCCCCACAGCTCCAAAGGGGGCTGCAAGGCAGGGCCTGTTCAGGTTTCTCCTCCCTGCCCCAGAGTGGTTCATGGTGTAGAACATTTCTAGCCTGCATGAAGCCAGCTGCCCAGGACAATCCCAAGCCAGGGCCACACGATTAGGCTGCCCTTCTCCCATCCCAACTCCAGGAAGTTGCTGCAGCTAAGTCAATCATCCCTGGCCTCACAGCTCTTGCTAGAACAAAACTCTGCACAAACACACACAAATATTAGCCATCTCTAACAAGTAATTAAAGCTTCTTATTGCCCAAGTTTTGAATCGAGACTGCTGCACCACAGCCAGACATGCGATCATCAGTTAATCTAACAAATGTGGTGGGGCCAGAAAACATGCAGAGGGCCGTTTCTTCCCATGGCAAAGGCAGCTCTGTAGTGGGGGAGGCACCTCTTTGCTTTCCCTCTCAGACCATCGTGATATCCAGCACAGGGCAAAGTCTGAAAAGCACCTGTGTAAAGATTTGGAGGTCTGGCCACCAACGTCCCAAAACATGGATGTGGCCCTGGGTCCCACCTGCTGCAGTGGTCTGCGGCTTTGCAGGGCTGAGACAAGTCACACAAGACCTATTCTCAGGGTTCCTCAGGGTGAGAGTCACCATGCAAAATTCTGAAGCATAAGCAATTTATTCCACCAAGAGCTTCAATGCACTGCTACAGAGTGCTACATGCAATGAAGACACCATCCTTGTCTCAGGAGAATTTGCCAATGAACCTGAGAAGACCAAGGGAGGGAGATGAAGGGGTTTACTTGAGGCTATCTGCAGAATTAAGTGCTCAGTCCCCATCACTGTGTCACAGCCCCAGCGCATACTGGTAACCTCAAAAACCTCAGCCCACAGGATGACAAGGACAAAATGAGGACTGGACAAAGGTGCACCGTTTAGTGGGAATACAAGAGAGATGCTCCTTGTACAGGAATGGAGAGTTGCTTTGCAAGATATTGTCATCATGCCAGAGCAGGGGTTTGTACAGCCCAGCAACACCCGCACCCCAGCACCAATCCCGAAAGTGCCATGAACCGTCTCCTCCAGCGCCTGCTGGCCCTTCTCCTGTCCCCAGCACTGCCCGGCTGCTGCGTCCCCAGGGCCACGGGGAGCTGTGCCGGCCTTGGGAGACGGAGGCTTTTGGCAGCTGCGGCCTGGCTGCGGGGGAAGGCAGCGCCACAGGAGCCTCGCTCGACCGCCTAGGCTCCCTGCTGCACCACGGCGGTGTTTGCTCAGCAGGAGCCGGCTCCCCCCGCCCCCTCCCCGCAGCCCCCT